GTCCTTGGGGCTCTCTGAACTTGGTTGGTTTCTTGCAGACGTTTCATTACCCAAACTGGGTAACATTATCAGGCTAAAAGGGAGGAGGAGGAAGAGGAGGAGGACTGGGGGGTCCTTGGGGCTCTCTGAACTTCCTTGGTTTGTTGCAGACGTTTCATCACCCAAACTAGGGAACATCATGAGCACGATGATGTTGCCTAGTTTGATAATGAAACGTCTCCAAGAAAACCACCAAGCTCAGTGAGCACCAAGGACCCCATCGTCCTCCTCTTCCATCCCATAACTCCTAGTCCCTTCTAGCACTGATGTGGTTACCTAGTTTGGGTAATGAGACGTCTGCAAGAATACAACCAAACTCAGAGAGCACGAAGGACCCCTCAGTCCTCCTCTTCCTCACTTCTAGCGCTTGATGTTGTTACCTAGTTTGGGTAATGAGACGTCTGCAAGAAACCAAGCAAGCTCAGAGAGCACCAAGGACCCCTCATGTCAACCCTGAGGTATAAATATTCCCCTTTTAGATTCCTACAGGTGAGCGACCTACGCAGAGGATCTGGGAAAGGAGAAACTGAACAAAAACTCAAGATTGGCCGCTATGACTAAATAGAGGAAATTGTGCCTCTTTTTTCTATGCGGAAGGTGAAAAGCACGCCCCGTTGCACTTGGGTGCTTTGTGCCAAGCTCCCAATCCTTAAAGAAGGCGTAGGTTGTGATCCTACATAAGAGGATTCCTCTCTCTTGTTCTTCCATTCCTTGTTGGGTGTATAGTATGTTGCTCTCGTTGTTGCTTCTCAGTTATAAAAGATGTTTCTGTTTTACTAGCTCTTTCCAACACTGGGGTTTCTGAGTAACTGCAGCTTCCTTCAAGACTTAGCCAGCTTTAATTTTGAAGTTAGAACAATTAATCAGTAGCTTGCTTCCAGATCAGTCCTCCTTCGTTGCTAAAGGTGGATTTTAAGATTGCTTCCCCAAAGCCATCCTTCGCAACATGCATGCATCTATCCAGTGATGGAGATAAAAGTAATTCCATTAGATCAAGAAAAAACAAAACAAATGCAAGCAGAATCACAGCACCATTTTCACTTTCACTCTGGCCAGAGATCATCCCAGTCTTATTATAACAGATGAACAGAGTTGGAAGGGACTTTGGAGGTCTTCTAGCCCAACCTCTGCTCAAGCAAGGAGACCCTACACCAGGGTCTTCAAACTTGACAGCTTTAAGACTTGTGGACTTCAACTCCCAGAATTCCTTA